CCTCTCCAGAGAAGACATTCCTTCCCAAAAAGAAAGAAAACAATATAAATTTTGGGGGCTAGGCCTGACCCAAAAATACAAATTAAATAATTAATAAGTAATTCTAATATTCTTATATATAAATCAAAGCATATGACTTATATGAATTGAATTTACATATTAATTGATAAGCTTATAACATTCGGTTCATCAAATCTTACATGTCATCGATGATGCAAGATTATCTTACAAGGGAAACTAATCAAAATGGTGAATATATAAATACATATTTTGCATATTTACTGCTTTTTTATTTTTTGAAAATTACATATATACTGCTTAATTGGGCTTTTTGAAAGAATTAAAGTTGAAGCTCTCAAAGTCAAATTGAGATTTATCAATTTCAACAATATAATTATTCTAAAAAAACACGTATAGTATATAATGGATCATCAGCCCAATTATAAGATGCATTTTAATGTATTTTTACATCAAGATGTTTTATTTCAGTTTTACCGTTTGCTCATTTTGCAACTTAATAATGATCATTTCCAGTTTTCAACGTTGTATATATACATTTTTCTCACATTGTAATTAAATTCAATAAAATACTTCTTTGTATGTTAAAAATGACCATTCTGTAGAACTGTATTTGAGCATAGAAAATAATTTTATTTTACAGACCATGGAAATGCTCCTTGCCTCCTTAATAATATGGGTAAGTCATCTGTATGGTAGAATCATTGACTGACCAAAGATTAAAATTTATGATAGGCTAATCACTAATAATAAAAAATATAGTACTCCGGTACTACTACTTATAAGTTATGACTTTATAGAAGTGGGGATGAGCATAGTAAAAAAGAAGAAATATAGTAGCTTACTAGCTTGTGATGCACCCGCTCATGAGAAAAAAACATACTAATCAAAGAGAATTTGATTACAAAATGGTCCAATCAAAGAAAATTTGATAAATTTTTTGTGATATTCACAACGGAAATTGGAAGTTTTTTTTTTGTTTTTTTTGCAGAATGCCAGAATAGTCACATTTTACTCAAGTTATGTATAATCTGTATTCAAATCCATTCACATTTAATCAAAGAGGCTCAGCTCTTAAGCTAGTTGCAACCCGGCCAAGTGTTGAAAATGTCATTTTTTTTAGGAAATGGAAGGTCATCATTTTTTAATCTTGTGCTGATAAAGTCATAACAAGATACAGGACATCCATGGTGGGAGATTCGGCACCCCCATTTACCTTGTTGACGGCGAAGAGCTCATCTACGTAGCTGGCTGCTGTAGTGGATGGAGAGTTTTTGGCTACGGAACTTAGACTCATTTTTTTGGGGGGAAAACTACTATTAACCCCCTCTCATGTTTAGATCATTCTCATTCTTTCTCCTCTCATATTAATATTTGTTAAATCAAATTTAATAAAAATTCTTAAATTCAATAAAAATTGTCTATAAAATTAATTTTTAAAAAACTCAAATTATTATCATATTAGAAGTCATTGTTGTTGGTCGCTTTTTTCTACATAGTTACTCCATCGTGAAATATATATAACTATGATTTCATTACTACTCTATAACTAGTCATATTTTTGTATCGTGTCTTTATTTTGATCATATTTATGTAATTATTTCAAAATAAAAATAGATGGGAAAACTATCAAATAAGCCCCTGTACTATACCGAAAAAGTCAATTAGGCCCTCATACTTTACAGACACTCAATTAAGTCCTCGAACTATTAAAAAACTGATGGATTATATGGACTCCGACCCCCCGGTATGCCGACTACTAGGCCTGGACAGCGGCCCACACACGTTTAAAAGATATCATTAATATTATTGTACATTATTATTATTATTCAGATGTTCTAGATTAGCTTTTTATACTATCAGTCCATTTATGTAACCGGGTCTGTCAGGCCCATATTAGAGGCCCAGACCCGGATTTTCCCTATATATACTCCTTATAGGAGGCTTGTAACTCATATAACTCAAGAACTCATAGTTCATACACAATACACATTTTTCTTCTTCTTCTCCATTACTCATTTTGATTCTTGTCCAATCTCTCCTGTTTATACAATATGGATATCAATTATCCAACAATGGTGCTCTCGTTTAGAGGTTTGAACACAATCAAGTAAGAAAACCTCTCCGCTTAACCAAAAACTCTACCAAAATCCACTAAATCACAGAAAATCAGTCAAAAAACAATCTGAAAACACAACAGATTATGTGTTCTCGCATGGGAGATCCAGGATTTCCTAGATCTGACCGGAGCAACCATCAACGTGCCGCCGTGTCTCAACGTGGGTCGCCCCGCTTTTGGGCTAGCACCGCCGCCACCGGCCGGCCGCCACGAGCCACCTGCTGTACTTTCAGACATGGATCTGCAACTTCTAGATCTGGAAATGCTAATCTCGATGGCTCAGCTCGACCGGACCTCGGCGCAAGAAGACGACGTCCGCGGCACACTTTGTCCTCCACCTTTGTCGCGGTATCGTCACTCGCCACTCATCTCTGTCGTCTCGGCTCGCAGCTGCGTGCCAGAGGGCGTTCTTGGCTCGTTCCGGTTGGATAAAGGCCCCTTCAAGCTGCATAGGGCTGTGTCACGCAGCTATCATCCTGCTAGAAACGACCCAAAAAATGGCAGCTCCGACGAACCCTATTCCACTCTTTGACGAACCGACTGGTCAATGGCGACACAGATCTGATGCATAATTGGCCGGATCTGAACCGATCGGTCAACGGAGCAAACAGCTGACCCCTTCCCCTACAACGTGGCGCCGCCTCCTGTCGCCATTAGCTCGTTCATCTACCTCTGTCACACCACGCTCAACAGCCGCGGCTCACCCTAACCTCATGAACTGTGTCTGCCATTAATGGCATAGGGAGGCTCTGTTTCTCGAACTAGGGGCCAACCTGAAGAGGGCGTGGGCCGTTACTGCTAAAAATTAGAACTACCTCCATTGAACGAATCACACCGGCCAATGGCGCCTCAAATTCAAGCTCCGCCGCGAGGAGAGTTTGCAGTCACGACCAGGGCTCTTCTACGGCCCATGTTGGCAACGACGACGAATGAGGACTTCCCTAGGCCTCCTTTCTCCGGCTGGCGGCGACGACCTCGTTTGTGCCTTGGCTGGCGGCGGCAGTATGCAACGATGACAGCCAGTTCCGGCATGGATCAAGGACCTGCCCGCACACATCATTTGCAAAAGGGCCTGGGTCATAAACTTCATTTGACTCCAATCAACAATTAAAAGTCCGGCTGGATATTTGGGCTAAGAATGCAACAGTGGGCCAGGTCGCATGTGACCCAGCAGAATAGTTTGACGGGCCTCAATTTCAGCAACTTATCTCAGCCCAAACTATCTGTATTTCAGCCCACTTCAAAAAGATAAGTACTCTTTAATTTTATATTATTTATTTTTATTTAAATTAATTTTTTGTCGGGCGAGCATCACACTATCACGCACTTATGATCAAATACTTAGTAGAGTGTGCCTTGAGACCCATCACTAGGATTTAAAGCCCTGACTCCTCAGGCACAAAGCCCTGTCTCCTCAGGCACAAAGCCCCGACCAAGTCGGGCATGAAGACAAAACCCCGACCAAGTTGGGTACGAAGACCGGTCTTAGTCATTCCTCGAGTGGCGACCGTTGCTTACGAATGGCTCACACATCCATTCTACTAAGTATTTTATCATTACATTAACAATTCACAACTCCACTTGTTTCAAGTGACGAACTCCCGATCGGGAACATAAATCCCAAGAAATTTTTTTATATGTATGATAAATGTGTAGGTACGAAGATGACTTTACTCATTTTCACCTCGTCTCCACTCGCCTCAAAGAGTGGGGACTGGGGGACTGAGGGGTCAGTGTTTCTAGATGAGCAGAAAATATCACGCAAGAGCAGGAACGAGAGCTGAGTCAGTTGAAGAGGAGCTGAGCTAGATTGATTATGCCGGAGGGGATTTACCTTCCTTGTTTCATGTTGGGGGCGCTAGGTGTACCTTTTTCCCTTTATTAGGATTTTTTCCCACTGGGTTTTTCCTAGTAAAGGTTTTTAACGAGGCACCTCCCCATAATGGACAAGGGTGGTGGCCCCCCCCGGCCGAAGAGGAAGAACGTTGCAGATACAGTTTGGACTACTCCCTTTCGCCTCGAGTACTCTCGACTCAGGGAGTGGGGGACTCCTGATGGATTATATGGACTCCGACCCCCCGGTATGCCGACTACTAGGCCTGGACAGCGGCCCACACACGTTTAACAGATATCATTAATATTATTGTACATTATTATTATTATTCAGATGTTCTAGATTAGCTTTTTATACTATCAGTCCATTTATGTAACCGGGTCTGTCAGGCCCATATTAGAGGCCCAGACCCGGATTTTCCCTATATATACTCCTTATAGGAGGCTTGTAACTCATATAACTCAAGAACTCATAGTTCATACACAATACACATTTTTCTTCTTCTTCTCCATTACTCATTTTGATTCTTGTCCAATCTCTCCTGTTTATACAATATGGATATCAATTATCCAACAAAAACGTTCAATTAAGCCCTTTTGGTCGGTAAGTAATCGGTTTCCCGGTTAAATGTAACCCGTTTCCGACAGCCGCCGTTGCCGGTGTTCGAGCACATCATCGCCGTCATTGTCGTTTAACCGAGAAACCGGTTACCTACTGACCGAAAGGACTTAATTTAATGTTTTTTAATAGTTCGAGAACTTAATTGAATGTTTGTAAAGTACGAGGTCCTGATCGACTTTTTTGACACAGTACGGGAACTTATTTGATAGTTTTTCCAAAATAAATGGATCATGAGTCGACAAGGGGAGAAAGACAAGGTGGGTACCCAATTCCCGACGTAATGTTATGCCGTCAAGAAATTCGACGAGACACGTCATGCAAATGTCTCCACGTTACCCCCCTCCTATCCTATCGCTCGCTGCTTAATTCACAATTTCTCACCCTCCGCTTTTTATTAATTTGTTTATTATTTATATCACTCTCCCCTTTCTTTACTCGCACCCCTATATTTCATCACTTTCCACACGCACCATTTATGCTGGTCAATGTAATTAGTTTAGATTAGACGACAAATTATTTATTCTTTTCATTTCTTTTTTGTAAGATTTAAGAATGCCCCCCAAAACGAAAGAGGCTGCGGCGACGGCGGCGGCCGGTGATGGGAAGCTGCGAGAAATTCGGAAGGAGCCAATGCATTTCAGAGGTGTGAGGAAGAGGCCATGGGGCAGGTACGCGGCGGAGATCAGAGATCCCGGCAAGAAGAGCCGCGTCTGGCTCGGGACCTTCGATACGGCGGAGGAAGCCGCCCGGGCGTACGACCAAGCCGCCAGAGAGTTCCGAGGAGCCAAGGCCAAGACCAATTTCCCGGTGCCGGAGGATCTCAATTTCGCATCTCGATTCGAGCCGAAAGCGACAGGGGCAGATCGCCGGAGCCCGAGCCAGAACAGCACCGTTGAATCGTCGAGCCTCGACGGCTGTCGCGTCTCTTCCCCGCCGGATCTCGCCGCCGCAATCTCGTATCAGAACCATCAGCCCGTTGTGTATCCCGGAAGCCAGATGTTTTATGCGAACGCGCTCGCGCGTGCGATGGCGATGAGTCATCCGCCTCCGCCTCCTCAGCCACTAAATCGGAGACGAATCGAGACACTGAATTTATTCTGTGGAGATAACGGGGAGACAAATTCTTCGTCGGTGGTTGATTTGAGGGGCGGAGCTGGCCTCATCGATCTCAACTTACCACCGCCTGAATGTTATCTATAGGTGAAATTTCATTTCGGATTAAATTATAGGACGGCTGAGGAACGCCGGCGGCCGATGACTGAAAACACTGTGCCCAAGTTCTGCGGCTGTTGTTTAGCGAGCAGTCATCAATTTGATGTGCATATTTTATCATCTTACAAACTTCAACCTGGATAGGTTTCCAGATTTTGTTTTACCAATAATCATAATTTATCATATTATAATAATAATACAAATTTCAATGTTAATTCATACTAGGACTAGTAGTAATACAAAAGTCCTCCTTCTGTCCCGATACGATAATTGTCTCATTTTACTATTTCGGTCCGTCGTACTAAGATTGTCTCATACTCGTACTTTATTTGGTAAAGTATGTGTGGTTCTAAATCATTCCCACTTTATTCTTACTTTATCAATTCAATATCAACCACATAAACTCATCTTCACGTGCTTCTCTTGTTCCAAACATAGTGGGACGGAGGTACTAGAATTTTTGTTTGTATTCCCACTAATGTCTGGATTATGAAATTTAAAAGTGAAAAAGTGGTTAGTATGTGAAATCCATGTTCCCCTAATGAGATCCTGATTATACGTTAGTTAGGTGGCGGAAGATGCGGCTGCGGTGGTGGTGAGAGGCAGGGTGGGCGGTAGGGTAGGCTAATCGGTAAAGAGTAAACGAAACGACACAGACAAGAATAGTGTCGGCCGCCACATGGTGCTGTGCTTTGCCGATCTGTATGGGCTCCGTGTATTTTGCATTGGGATGTACTCTTATACAACTACGGATGTATACAACTTATATACAAAACGTCTGTGAGCACAGATAAGAGTTGTCTATGTATAAAGACAATTTTTGTCTATGTGTGCATACATTAATTTTCTTGTAAAAAAAGTACACTACAATATTTATCACACCGACAATAGTCGTGCGGCTCACAAATAATAGTTGTCTGTATGATCAACTTTAGTTGTCGGCGTGATCAATTTAAATTGTTTGAGTGAACAAAAAGATTAATTGTCTATATATATATGCATCCAAATGAATGATTTACTTGAATGTGTGATCAATTTACATGTGATTTTAAAAAAAAAATAGACAAATAACAACAATAAATTAAACAAGTTAAATAAACTAATTTTGTGCAAATAATAAAAAATTTTGATATAAAAAGGTAGAGAAAAAGAGGATGAAAAGAAGAAGAATATGGAGAAGAGAAGATGATCTCCCATATTTTTGTTGAGAATTTTCGAATGAATTGGATAAAGAGGGAAGAGAGAAGGGAAGAGAGGAGGGGGGTGTTATGAGATTTTTTTGGACTTTTATATAGTGTACACTTTGTGTTCACCATGTGTACCCCTAACTTTTTTCAAAAAAAAAAAGTAGGACTACGTTCTCCCATACTTGTTCTGTTACTCCCTATTTTAATTTGATATGATTATTAATAAAGTTGTTAAAATGTAAAAAGTTGTGTTTAAGATTTGAGTAGAATAAAGTCAATTATATAGCTATATATTTGTTGTAAAAAAAGAAACATTACATCCATTTTTGGACAACTCAAAATGAAAGTAAGATAATCAAAATGGAACAAATGGAGTATTTTTTGAGTGGTTTTTGTTTTTTTTAAATGGAGTACTTTAAAAAGGTTAAAATTATTCAATAACATGTTGATTGTTTAATTAATAATAGCGTCGGGGGCAAAAGTAGGTATAGGGGTAGGGGTAAGGGGCATTGGCCTGCCCCCAACTTTTTTTTCATAGTACTAGTATTAGATAACTAGTATGAAATAATAATAAAAGATCGGGTCAGAACTACCTGATAGAAGCCTGCATTTTAGATGTTTCCGAATAGAATTATTTGATAAAAAATTGTGATCATGTTTTTCATGAGCTGTAGATTATGTCTACCAAATTTCAATTTAAGATTGAATCAAGAAATCAACAAAATAAATTATGAAAAACCACTATGTGCATTATATATTTTTTTGGCACATTGTTTTTCAATAACTTATTTAATTGATTATTTGATTGAATTTTAAATTGAAATTTAATGTAAATAATATTGACATCATTATGTACGTTTTCACAAAATTTTATCAAAAAAGCCCACCCGGAAGCCCCTCAAACATAGATGGTAGGTATGCTGCCAAATAATTTTGACAGAATCATTCCTTATGAAATAATTACGATAGTATATAAGATTTCAAATAGTACAAAATATGTTTTATTCCTCAAAGATACAATAGTATATTATTTAGTCCTATTTAAAATAATTTTATTAGAGTTCACCAAAATAGGAAAGAATAAGTCCTATCCTGAGAATAAAACAATGATAATTCCGTTTAAGAAATTTTCTCTTCATGGTTTGTGTTCGTTCCTGACCCCCTATGACTATATCCTAGCTCCGCCACTGATGGTGGTTTCTCAGAAGCTACTTAGCTAACTTTTCATAAAGAATCTTTTACTTTTTAATTTTTTTTTAATTCTTGTCATGTCAAACATTCAATTTATTATCAAGGTCGGATCACTCATGAATTATTTGGGATTCAAGTTTATTATTTTAGAGAGGTTGAGAGCTAGAAAATCAGTAGTAGAAATGCATTAGAGTTGTAATGTTTGAATGCGATGTTTAAGAGCCGACTCATTAAGTTTTCTTTAAATATTTTATGTAATATTATAATTGCTAATAAACTATAAACTTAACCTTTACGAAAGGTGACTCCTTTTTCTAGAGGTTAATATGATGTTAGACTTTTTCATGTCATCAGTCATTCTAACAAAACTTAGGTGTTGATTTATAATATTTTATTATTTCTTTTTCTATCTTTTATTTCCTTTTCACATTGTATTTAAATAATTAATACAACAAAGTGAGGTGGGCTACTATTTTCATTTTCTGTTTCTAAAACATAGAACTATGATCTATCAATCAAATAAAGCAATAAGCATATAAAACCAAATCAAATCGAACAAAGTTCAACCAAATATATCTTTGTCATTATGGAAATCTGAACATGAGATTGAATCGGATCACTCCCAAATCAAATAAAAAACACATGGTTCTGATTTGGTACAATATCTCTAAAATCGAATAAACTGAAACCTTATCGAAATTGATAAAAAAATGAATCGTAAACCGAATAACACACCCCTAACTTGGAGATATAAAAATGTGCCAGTATGAAATCTATCAAATAATGAGGACAAGGAGATCTGCTCACGGGCCCAGTATGAAAGCCAAAGTCATTAGATAATGGTGGCTATGAGGTATGGCTGGTGGCCCAATATGAAATTTGACTCACCAAATAAAGATGACTAGGAAATATAATCGAGGAGTTGATGGTAGAGATGAAGTGAAGCGGAATCAGATAGGCTTCATTTAATGTACCTACACATTTAAATAAAATGGACATACTATTCGGAGGTTGGAGTTTGCTATTTTGATTTGGGCTCAAAATAGATTTTCATGGGAAATTCTATTAACAACCAAACTTTCACTAAACACAGCCCTTTATTCCGTATTAATTAAAATTATCTCTTTAATATTTCAATTATACCCTTTTACTTAACACAACCCTTGTCAAATCTAAATTTATATCTAAGATATCTCATCCGTTATAAGTCTCTTGTTCATTCTTGAAGCACGAAGAATGGTTTAAGTTTCCATGCATTTCTTGATTGGAGTGGTAAAAATATTTCAAGGTCTGCCTGACTGCCCATTCAAACCAAAGTTCCCACCTATAAATTATCTGCAACATGGCTTGGGACCTCGTCAAGCATCGAGTCCCCCTGTCAGAAGAAAAAATTGGAAATTCTCTATGGGCAAGACCCTCAAATTTCTTTTGAAAACCTCCCTTCGATACTATGTTTGCTGATTTTATTGGTCTGTTAGGTGGGCGTGAAGCATTAGCTCCGGACGGCTTCTTTGTTGTCCAATAGCTCTGAATTCCATTTCCTTTCCAGTTCTAAGCAAAGTCGTTTGGTCAAGTTTGCAGGTCGTAAATCGACTTGTTGCGTGTCTTAAACTCCTCTGCATATGTCACTCTAGAAGGCCGGGTTTACTGCACCAAACCCCTCGTGATATAGAAATTCAACGCATTAGCCCCTGTGATTTAAAAAATGCGTCAAACCTCCTTGTGTTTTACTTAATCATGCACAAAACCTCTTTTATGAATAAATTTAACGATTTGGAAATCAGGTTTTCCAATATTCTGATTGAATATGCAAGTAAATATGTCAAAATCTCTAAATCAGACATAAATGTTAATCATTTTTCTTTTATTTGACAATGAGATTTGTTCATAGAAGGGATTATTTTGCGCATAATTAATTATAACACAAGGGTGTTTGATAGGAATCTGGGCCACCAGCCCATCCGGTATTTTAATAAGGTTTATCAAAGGAGAAATAAGGGGCTAAGGGGGGTAAAATAGAGATTGATCTATCCAGGTGGTCCCTGCGTGGACAGTTACTATATATAGTATGGTGAGGTAGCTAATAAAGGCTAGGTTATGATTTATCTGAATGATTGCCTTGTTGCCTAAGTCCCGGTTACCCTTGTTGCCTACGGTTTACCTATTCCTATAATAAACATTACTTCCCTATCATCTCTATCAGATCTACTCTTGCTTATTTACTGTTAGTACTCAGATTATCGCCAGATTATTGCCAGGTACCTATCATTTGGTATCAGAGCATCACTGCTCCTGGAGATCGGACCTGGAGATCGTCTTCAACCAAGCTGTCGTCTAGAGGTGGATGGTCAAAACCAGATCTAGAATGGAACATCGAGTGGATTCGTTGGAACAAGAGATGAAGAACGCTGTGGCTACTCTCACAGCCTCTATGGCTTCGATGAATGAACAGTTCCAGAGCAATCTCGCGGCTTCGATGGCTGCGATGTCTGAGCAGATCCAAAATCTTCGCGATCAGCATAGGGGAAGATCGCGATCACCCCACCTCTACCGATCTAGGTCACCGCACAACCCTCCACAATCCAGAGGTAATTCCGTTCATTCCCCAGCTCCCACTCGTAGAGTTCATACTGGCCGGAAGGTGGATTTGCCATTGTTTAATGGAGTTGGTGCCTATAACTGGTTAGTAAGAATGGAGCGTTATTTTAGATTGAATAAAACAGAGGAGGAAGACAAGGTGGAGGTTTCAATGGTGGCTATGGATGATAGGGCCTTGAATTGGTTTCAGTGGTGGGAACAACAGGCAGAGGAGATGACCTGGGAAAACCTGAAGGACGCTGTTATCCGGAGGTTCCAACCTGACTTATTACAAAACCCCTATGGACCCATGTTGAGCCTGAAACAAACTGGAACTGTGG